AATTAATGAAGTGTACGAGGGGCTGGGCTGGGGGTGGGTCTTTGACCGTAGGGTGATGAAGGTTGAAAATAATCTATTAAGATATCAGGAGCGACAGAGTGCACAAGCGGGAACTGGTAAAAGAGCAGGAGTAACTAGTCAACGGTGATTTCTCCCTTATTATTCGTATATTTTTATTATAAAAAAAAAAAGAAGTGCCGGAGAACGAAAGCGTCGGCGTATCCTGAATACTGAATGAATTAATTCGAGCATCGGGTCCGACCGTGTTGACAATAGGCAGACGTTATATGGGGAGCGAGGGAGGTAGCGAATGGGAGTGCGAGAGAGCGAGCGAATAAATAGTGAATAGTGCGAGAGAGAGAGAGACACGAGACTGCACATATTTTTATGTCATCGCGGCAGCGGCGATGCATTGTTGTCGCGAGACAAAGGCAAATGTGGCGGAAAAATTGCGGAGGATAGTGAGGGGGGGTAGGGGTGGGGGGGGGTAACGTCAAAAGGGATGAAGCAGACAGGTCGAGTCAAGGGTGGAAAAGCACGTGGGATAATTCGTCTGTAATTACTTTCATCCCTTAAAATCGGCAGCTCGTACTAAGAGTTCATGAAATTCGTCTATTTCGATTGGGGAAAAAGAAAAAACATCCCTTAGAGGTACCGAGGATCAAAAAGGCTCGGAGGGGTCCTCGAAAGAAAATTATGGAATATGGATCGAAAACAAAATTTTAACTATAAGGGGGGATTGGACGAAGGAGGGGGGGGGTAACTACAATTAAGCCAGTCAGTCCCTGGCTGAGTTGGTCCATTGAGAGAATTGGCCTGCGCGGGCAGCCAACTATCGAGCAGAATTGAGATGCCGATGTGCCACTGGGTGCAGAAAAGGCAAGGGTAGTGCCAGGGGGCGGCGAGAGGGGTGCTCGGGACAGGGGTGGGTTTCGCAGATTATCAAGCATCAGTTGTCGGGAAGAATAAGCAACCGCCAACCGTCATTTAACTTTAACGCTCCAACTGCCCCCACCTCACCCTTACGGATCCCGTACCACACCCAGCAACCCCTTCTGCCCCCACCCCCCGCGTCATCCCTCGAGGACCACCCTTGGTCCATGCTAATTAAATCTGCCTACGTACTTCTTGGCCCTTTTACAACCCCCTTACCAAATCCTAACAATTGACTGCGGAAACGACTCTACTACGTATACGTTATATATACAGACACGCGTATAGCTCCACGTAAATCGAACCATAGGAAATTGGCCACAGTGCGAAATTAATGAGACTCCATGGTCAGTGGGCAATTAGCAAATTATTATTATTTTTTTTTTTTAATTTTTCATCGCACAATGCAAATGGTCAAACCGGCGATCTCGTTGGTTGAAAATTTTTTATACCAAAATTTGGACCGCGATCCTAATTTAAATCTCGACTGCCCGCCCAATCGCAGCATCCCAGTATCGACTGACGTCCTATTGGTCCACGGCCTTCTCTCGTCATCGCATCTCACGTACTCCGAACAAAATAATTTTACTTCTTACCCCTTCGACCTCCTGATTCTATGTCTGAACATAAAACACTGTTTCCACTGCAGTAGTAGATACTGGTACGTCATATTTGGCCACTAGCATTGTCTGACTAGTTACCAACTGTCTCTACTGGCTACTACCGACTGTCAATGGTGACCATTTCTTTTGGACCGTTCATAATTTTACTCAATGATACATACGGTGAACATTTTTTTCCCACAAGATCACATCGACTTTTCTCAGGTCCGACTTTCAACTGCACGGAGGCGCCTGGTTATTCATTCGACTCACATACAGCCAGGACGACCAACAGTCGAGAGAACATAGGACGGTGGGCAAAGCACAGGTGGATATGTTATTCGTGTCCACAATGGCGTCATTGATGTGAAGCATTGTGCTTCCACCCCATATTGTAGATTTGCGAACGCATCCCCGCGCCCCACTCGGTTTATATATACGTATACCCCATCGCAGACTATACAGAAATTCTGCTTCTTTCACATGCACGAGAACTTCCTACTTCTTTCCCATCTTCGTCTCCGATCCCTCTTTCGCCTTCTACTTCTCCTCGTCGCCTGTTATTTCTCAATTCCTCTTATGCACCGGAATCTCGCTGATCCATCGAAGAGATCGAGTCGGAAACGGCGGCCATGTTTTATCGCTACAAAAAAAATTACTATTTCTCAACGCATCTCATTGTTCGCGCATTCATTTTTTTACCTGATTCATGAAAAATATTTTTTTTTCATTTCCAAAATTTAAACCAGTCCGAAAAATCCGAATATTACATTTACCTATGTTATACAGTATATACATACATAGTCTGTTCGTTTTGACGATTTCTATATGTACGACCGTATAGCGTGCGTTTCTGTATCAATGAATTCTAGTATAGTTCGCGATGAAAAGAGCAATAGCACAGGGGCCGTATAGAATATCGTCAGATATCAGAAGGATAAAGGTACAGTGGTATGGTATATATAAGGTTATGTACCAAGTATATAATAGGGGTTGGTACACAAGGGGAAGTAATGCGCTCATCTCCGAGTTACAATAGAACAATGCATCCCGTGAATAAAGCTCTATGGTGTTGCCAGTCGCAAAACACACGTAGGTACTATCCACGAGAGGAACCCCACTTCCGGTAGACCCTTGGACTCGTCATCCCCCTCCTACGCCAAGATAGTTACGTACGAGCGATATCGGAGAGAAAGCCGGAGGGAGTGATGATAGAAATTTTTTTTTTCAAAAAACTACCCTTAAATTTTGCCAAAATTTTTTTCATCCCTTACAGATCAACATTTAATTACTATGCATGAGGGGGGTGGGGGGTGGACGTTTAAGCCCTTTCGTAGCGAAGGTGGAGGATTGGGGGTGAGTGGGAGGGGGTCGTATTAAAATAAAGAAGGGATGCCACCAGCAAGGGGCGGAGGGGGTGGAAGTCAATGTATAACTTCATAAAGAGTGCAGGGGCTGGTTAAGAGCGAAGATCCCGATGGAGGGGATGAAGAGGGAACAACGAGGAAACAATGCGTGGACGTAACGACGACCAGAGAAAGACGAGCAAGCGAGCGGACCGGCGTCAAACAATGCCTGGAAACAATGTGCACAAGAAGGACGAAGCCACCTTACAATGTGGACAATAGGCAGATAGTTAGTGGGAGTGAGAGAGAGAGAGAGAGAGAGAGAGAGAGAGAGAGAGAGACAGAGTGGGGCCGAGTTTGCGAAAAGCACTGAGGAGAGGGTCGAGAGAGGTTCGTCCTATTGCGGAAAGCCTCCCTAAAGCGGCTCTGACGCGGATGGAGAACGCGAGCAATTCGTGGGTAAGAGAAGGTGCTGTTTGAAAGTTAGATGAAATTGGATTTAAAAAATATTTCGAAAAAAATTATTTAAAAAAATTATTACGTAAGAGCCGAAGGGAAGAGATTTTAGTGGAAAAAGTCTAAAGAGTAAGAGAGGAATTGATTGATTGAAATTTCTTGGTTTTTTTTTTTCCAGTGTTAGATATATTTTTGAGATCAATTTAAGGGTGGATTATGGATATCGGGATTATCCGTAGTGTGGCAATTCTTTTTTTTATTTTGGCACTGACCATCGTGGTCACCCTATGATGACCACTGACGAGCGAAGCCAGTCCGGGCAGTACGTGCCGTCTACGATGAGCTTTATGATTGAAAGGGAGACACGGGGATGGGTTAACAATGCGCGGGAGCGAGAAGCAGAATGTCAAGTGGACATTGTTGACGGCGACAATGCCGCTGAAATTGCCGGAGAACAAAGAGGTCTTATGATGACGCTGCTGGCGAGCGAGCGAACAACGAATGAGCGAGCGAGTTATTCGTGGACACTATGCCTTACCTTTATTATTCTATGCGTGCTTCACTCTCTGTCTCTGTCGTTCTCGCAATACCTTCTACAACGGTATATATATGTACAAACCTTCATCGAACTCTTACAGGGTGCCATACTGCCTGTATTATATCGTTAACCCCCTATCGCAACACTTACTCCGATATTCCTAAATTAAGGCAGTCATTTAATATCGAGCACCGTATATGTATATGCAGTCGATGAATGCTGCAAAGCTTCGTGAAGTATTTATATAAAGTAAAAAGAAAAAGACTGATTAATGTAAAGACGACCTATACGAAGTATCCATCGATTCTAAAGGGTGTCCTGTATCGCGTTGGACGTTCAAAGAAGATCGACAGCCATTTTTATGTTTTCCTTTGGTTCTGAAGAATATTTAAAGTACTCACTGTTCAATGCCCGTGAGCTCTCGTCTATAGACGACTCTATACGTATCCACGTATATTGTAATATAAATGTGTATTTCAATCCCATATATAAATATATAACCGACTCTTCGTGCTTTCATTGATTCGCGGAAAAAAGTAAAGAGCTTTGTCGCCGCGGCATCAAAAGCTTGAATGACGCGACGATGAAAGAAGGAAGTATCGGTACAAGAAACTGCGGAATGAATACTGAAAAGAATGTAGCCGGGAGAGAGAAGCCCGCGCGAGATGAAAGAGGGAGAGAGAGAGAAAACGATACGAAAGGAAAGAGTGAGAAAGAGAAGGAGAATAAAGCAAAGAAGAGAGGAAGGAAAGAGACGAAGAAGAAAGAAATAAAAGTCCTGACTTAGACGTCACAACAAGGCAGAGTGAGAGAGAGAGAGAGAGAGAAACATACCAAATACTCCGAAAAGTCCAAGACCGTTGGTCCTCGGTATCCAAAAGAACGGAATACGTAAAAAGGTATAAAGTAAAAATGAAGAAAAAAGAGAAAGACAATAAAGCCACTGGACGGTAACTACGAAATATCGAGTGAAAACAGAGAGAATTATTTATTTGTGTAACGCGAGTAAAAATTCAAATTTACGAGAGGCAATGCCGAGTTGCCAACGTTCGTTTGAAAGCTATAGGCTAGGGCTATCCCCACTCCTCGCGTCGGCCATAGAGACTTTTAAGCCGCGTCCACAGAGTACGTCGTGAAAACAGGGTCGGCAATTCCGGGCGCATCGCAAAGCCATCCTACAGTCGGAATTTCATCTCGCTCTTAAACTTGTGTCGGTTGAACACGAGGGACAGCAACAACGTATGTCGAATAGAGTTCTAATAGTAAACGTGGGTATGCCGGATTACGCTAAACTCCATGATGGCTTCAAAGCCAGTCCGTGCAGTGTACGAGGATATACATACAGGGTGTCCTCTCTATAGAGGAGGCAGAGAAGGCAGAGAATGAGAATGAGGATGAGGACGAGCAAGAGACCGGAGATAGAAGGTAGGTTGAAAGCCGTACTCGGCAGCGTATGCAGATAATCGGTACAAAGCCTTTCGTCCGATGACAAAGCAGGAGCCCGACCGGCTTCTATACCAGACTTCATATTATTATATATAGGGTGGCACGACGAAATTCTAAGAGGGCTGTCGCCACTGGCATCAACGTATGTGCATACATACATCGAATCTCGAAGCTTTTTGTTTTCGTGACGACGATATGTGCAGGAGGTACAGGGGCGAAACATAACCTAACGTAACCTGTGAGACGATTCGAAGTAGATCATAAAATATGGATTTATGTACAGGGTATCTATACAGACTAATTGTAGGTAAGTATGCTTATGCATAATTATTATTATTCAATGGCGCTGTACTGTGCCGTTGTCCTGTAAGAAATAATTGCGTTTTGTAGGAATACAATTGTTCTCTGACGCGAGTTGGTCAACACGAGGAAACTGATCGAGGTAACATCTTACTTCGATAAAAGTCACAGGAAGTCTATTAATCACGCGAGCTGCATTGTGCTATTCAGCCACTCGCCATTCACCACTCGAATATTATCGATACCGCCGAACAGCCATCCGCAGCTATTGAAAGAGAGTTTATCAATAGAGCGCAGGACACTCCTGCAGCACACACTGGCTAGACCGCTGACGTAGGTTCATCATAATCTTTCAAAGGTACCAGCGCCAATGGAATGCATCTGTATATTGTATTTTATATCACTGGAGGATCATCTACACCATCATGAAAATTCTGTGGTTCAAAAAAGAGGGAGAAAGTAAAATTACCGATTCGAGAAATTTCAGCGTCGGAATTAATGACTAGTAAAACATTTTTGGAACATTGAAAAAGGAATCATTATTTCTTGGATTTGAAGGCAATTATTTCCACTACAATTTTATGATCATTCAAGAGGACCTAGAGAATATTTAGAACTCTGTTCAGGTAAGATACAGACTTCTGGTGATCCTTGTATAGCTTTCTTATCACGTATTCGTGGCAATGAAAGCGGCACTTCCACCAATTCTCTTAAGCCGATTTGGTTCCCAGCGATATAACCTAAACTCACTTTTTACTATTTTCCCAGAAGATCTCTACCACGTATACGCCCGGATCCTGGGGATCTGCGCGGCTGAGTACTCCTTTCTAGGCCTACTATAAACAGCGACAAAAGGATGTGTCGAGTGGGCGACGACTATTCAATGCACGAGAAAGGATTGTCTGACGTTGCTGAGGACTCCCGCAGACCCATGGCTATGCTATAGTTATTTCTCGTTCTTTCTGGCCGTCTCCTCCTTGAACACCAGAGTCAGGCCAGTGGACTGTTCGCGACTACTGAGAGTAGCGAACGAGAAAGATGGAGAGCTGGTGAGAGTGTATAAATTGCAAAAGCGTGTGGTCCACGTGTGTGGGGTGCAGGGACTATTTTAGCCTGACGTTTGTGTCCATAGAAATGGCGAGGACGAGTGGGACGAGTACGGGGTAGCAGAGCCGGGAGAAATGAAGGGATGAAACAATGTGCCTTTGTACCTGAAAGAAATAGAAAAGCCAAAGAGGCAAGAGCGATTGAAATACTTGAGACTGACTACGTCAAATATGGTATATACATATATACATATATGTTCCTTTTAAAAATATCGAGAGGTGGTTTCCAGGACCTTTCTTTCTGGTGTGTTGGCAGTTATAAGGACATTTGGTGCTTTCCAGCTTGGACCTGGAAGAATTCTATATACAACGTATACTTCCAGGGCCACTCGGCGGCACTCACACAGAATTTTCCAAAAAATTTTTACATGTCCCAAAGTTTAGGTTTTTTTTTTTAGAAAAAATATATCGGCTTGCCGTTGTAAGTGCCACGTATCCCGGAAACTGCCCTCTGACATATTTATATATGTATATGGAAACTGCTATTGCGCTTTTTCTTTCTATCCAGAAGACCAGCATGTGATTGAATGTAAGGATGAGAGATCGCATTCAGAATTCATTTGCTGAATGTGTTACGGGTACGTATAACGAGGTTGATTCCGTTATTCCAGATGAGTATTTCCATATGGAGAATATATATATATATAAAGAATCCGCAAGTGGAATCGTCATCGGAGAAATGAAAACGGTAAGATGGTTGGGGGTGTTCCTCAGGAGGGTGGGTATTGGTAGATGGGGTTGTAGGTTGGTAGACCTTTAGATTCCAGAGTGAAGCATTGTGTCCCGAACGCGCATTGTCCTCCCGTCACTGGGAACTCGACAATGCCGAGTCCGTAAGTTAGTAACCCTACCGTAAAAACTTATCTCTTCCCCAACCTCCAACCTCAAGAACCTTCGTGATTCCGTTCGATTCTTACCGAAGAATCCCACCTACGTTAGCCCAGCTTTTTTTGGGCTTCTTGGGGTTGGCCTTGGCGCCATTCCTGGGGGAACCATTTTTAAACGGTGTTTTCATCCCATTCCAGCGTTCCAGTCGAGCACTCACGATTCATCCTTTACAATTCGGAAAATACACGAACAAGGACCCAACCGACCACGCTTCTCCACTGTGACCCAGGATCGACCTGCGGCCATTCAATGTCCGCGAATGGCTTTGGCGCTTTTGGTACCGTCCATGAGAAACCTCGAACAGGAAGCTGAGAAAGTTCTGTCAATGCTGGAGAACAAAAGTCGGAAGTGAACGGTACTGGGGACCGGATATAAACATTAGGAGTTGGCGGGTGGTCCTCTGATTGGGACTCAAGTTGCTCGACAGCCGGACAACGCGTGGTCAGCGGACAAAGCTCTTCTAATTGTCCCTATCAACGACGAAGAATGGACCGTGGGCCTGCTGCTGACAATTTCATTTGTAATTTGCATAAGGCTTATTAAAATCACAATGGATGCTCGACCTGGACGGATCCTTCCTGATCGGCTTGGGAGCTCAACAAAAGTACCAGGACCGTTTAAACGCTTGCGTCCCTTATTACGTACCGACTGTCGTACAGGGAACAGTATCAAATAGACTTTAACTGCCTTTCAGTGGTCAAACTTTACTACGTTTTCTATTATATATTATTGACACAAAGTGAACTTACCTTAAAGTATGTAGAATCCGTACTGCAAAATCCATAGGCACACCATAGATATTTTCACGGTATAAAAACACTAACACTGGTTACTAAAATTCACGCGTTTTATTTAAATGATTTACACTGTTTGACAAATCATACAATTAACGTATTTTCATATTTAAAAGCAAAAAAAAAAGAATACTTGATCGACTAAACATTTAATCAGTTTAATATCTGGCCATTCGAAAACGCTAAAAAAAATTCAAGATCACTAGAACCAAAAAGGATGACACTGTCTTTAGAAATAATCGTAGACAGATAATAAATGGAAGAAAAAAAGAAAAGGTTGACAAACCTTTCTAAAAATGAACCGCACACGTGAATGGCGGCGCGAAAACTGAACCACCGCAGATGCTATCACATTGCGCTCTACTCCTCCCCCCCCCCCCCCC